TCCTGCTGCTTTTGTTGTCCTATTCTGAATCATTCAGCAGCTCCTGACAGAAAACCTTTCTCCCAGCTAAGTATCTGTGGAAGGTGGTGCTTCCTCTTACACTCTCGCATGGGGACAAACAACAAATCAGCCACTCTCTTTGTTCAAGTCCATTCAATAACCTTAGAGTCTAGGACAGCAAACCAGTTGAGAAAACTCTACCATGTAGCTGTTCTCTATATCTGCTGTCCCTTGGCACGTGTTCTGGGATAACAATAAGGCTTTATAGAAGCCTGAGTTTTTCTGAGGAGTTTTAGTTTTTGGCAAGCGTGTCACGAGTGCCATTACTCCAGCCCTGGTCTTAGATGCCAGGTCATACGGATGGGGACACCGTGAGGAGCTAGGAATGGTTACACTCAGTAAATGGTAGGAGCTTAAAATTGGTGAGGATATGTAAGCAGCAGCAAAGGGAACCTGTAGGCTCCTCTACTGAGACAAACAGAGCAGTTTGTTCTTCTTAGTACTTTGGTTTAGCTGCAGCAATCTCTGCCTGGCATAATAATTCAGTTGAAATGCGCATTTTAATGATGATTTTAATTAAATATTGCCCCAAGATCACTCAGCTGCAAGTGGTCGTGATATACATTGGGCCCAGGTTTTGAGGTCAGCAGTTGCACTTCTGCTCCCACCCCACCACTTTCTATCTCCTACTGCTATTCCTTATTTCTTTTGATCATCTTTCTCCAGTACACTAGGGTTTTTTCATATTTCCTTAATGGGATTGTGAAGATCGTGTGGCATTATCCTCAAACCAGCCAATGCTGCCATGGGAGCTAGAGGATGACAAAACAGAAGATGAAAGTCAGCACCTCTATTTCCAGAGATGCATTTGGGAAGAGGGAAAATAAGAGTCACTAGCTTTTCCCATCCTCCTTTACATGCAGACCCTAAATCCTAAGAAAGAGATTGAAGACCTGAGGTTGGCTAAAGCAAGAGTTAGTTTGTGCTAAACACAGCAAATTACTTTCTGCTTGAATATTCAGTCCACTGTGGCTATTTCTTACCACCACACCTGGACTTACTAATTATTCCTCTCCTTTTCCAGTCTTGTCCAATAGGTTCCTCTGACCACTTTCACTTAGCTGTAATCATGCTAAGTCAGCAAAATCCTTAGTATTGCCAGGCTGTTAACCCCATCCATGGGAAGAAAGTTCTTGTGTGCCAGTTCAGTTCTGCCTTGAGGAGAGACGGGAAAAGGTACAAGATTATATTGCTTTTTCAAGTTTACTGAACTTACATCAGCAACAAATATGGGCAGTGTTAGTCACAGCTTAACACAGTTTGGTGCTGACCAAGAAAAATACAGATTTGATGTGCTATTTCCTAATGGTGACTAATTTTGCCATCATTTTATACGGTGAAAACCCAACAAAGAAAACACTGGTAAATGCTGGAATTTAAATGTAGTGGATGCATTACCAAGGTCCATGGAAGCATTTAATTTCTGAAATTCTTATTTATTTAACAGATGTCATTAATCTCCTCTCTTCGTTTTGCTCTCATGTTTTATTTTCCATTATTACTTTAATCTTTCCCAGAAACTATTGACATGCAACATGACAAAGTTAAGACTGTATTAAGCATGTGGCATTTGCCATGACTTTTAAGATCTTTGGATTTGGAAGACATGTACCTGATTTAACTAGTTGTCCTTGTTTTTCCAGAAGTCAGTCTGAAAATGTAGGAAATTTTTTGAATGAGCAGAGCACCAATGTGAACAATTTTATTCTTCCAATAGTTGCAAGCTTATAATCTTGAGTAATAAAAAATTGGTGATGCCGTTCTACAAATGTTTAAGATGGTCACACGTGACACTGCTGAAGCCTTCACTTGTTATGCGTTGGCTCTGGCCTCTGATCCAGGGTGAGCTAGATCAGGGTGGCACTGCTGGGAAACCTATCCCTTTTTTTGTCAGTGTTCTGAATGGATTTGTAGTGGGATGACATAGGAAAACAACAGGAAAATAACACAAGCCTATGTAAATCACAGAATACACTTAAAAGCTTGTTTAAGGGCCTGAGCTCAGTGAGCAAGGGTGAAGGTTTTCTTAACCATTCCTCAACCCTAAGAAGGGACAGGTGGAGAAAGAATCATGCCTGGAAAACAGCAAACTTTAGCAAAAATTTAAAGCCAGCTATTTCAAACCTTATTAGCAGCAGAAGCCGTCGCTGTCCATCAGCTTTATAGCACCTGTGAGTAGTGACCAATGCGGCAGTTTTCTCAGCTCGTACCTCTAGTAGCTGTAGCAAGAGAATCAGAGATTGATAGTGGCACAGATGCTCAGGTTGTCTTTTGCTGCAGGAGTTACTTCAGAACATCTTAGGAACAATTGGTAACACTAGAACTATGCTTTACTTCATCTGTTCATTGATGGATTTCAGACCCAGAAGGAACTAACACAGCACTTTATCTGCATAAATTTATTTTAAATGTAAAGAAAAAAGAAACTGTAACTGGTAATTTCCTGAAGTGAAGCTGAGATGTAAAGATGTATTTCTGTTCTTTACTCTGCTACTTTTTTATTTTTCTAAATTCTTTATTACCAGAAGGGGAAAGTCTAGTATCTTCTGTTTGTTTTCAGTTGGGCCCAAAGGACGTGTTATAAGTTATGAAATCAGAGACGATCATCATAATTTAGCTAAGAAAAATTACAGGCACTGGCGTGCTGCATGGGAAATAGGACATGTGGAGGAGTGGCCAGATAACGTGGATTTCATTCTTAAAGACATTTCAAAAGCTGCTGAGGATATGAAATCTTTAACATGTGACGCAGTAAGTCCAAGAAATCTCCCCATTTGACATTTAACTTTTCTACATAAGTTAAGGCCTCTAGTGCTCACACTCACATTCCCATATGTAGTTTAACATGAGAAAAAACAATTGAATCCTCATACATTGGAAGAAACATTGTAATTATTTTTTTTTTTGTCAGATTAGAAGTATTTTCAAGGTTTCAGTTACAGGTTCCCAAATGAAAGAGCAATATAGCTGAAGTACAGAAATGCTACAATTAATCACTGCTGTCTTGTAGGCAAAGACAAAATTAGTTTAGTGAATTTTGGAGTATTTTTGTATCTAAGGCATGTATTTGAAACATTAAGCATAAGAAAAACACATAATCTTACTGAAAATATAAATTCTACCAGCTATATAGAATGCAGTTAGAACAAGGAATGAGTTAGAACAAGGAATGCTCTTCCTTTCTCTCTTGTCTTCGTAAAGGGAGGTGTGCTGGGGAAAACGGCTAGATGTTAGCCATTCGTCCATGTAGACCAGACAAACTACTTACCTTAATGCTTTAAACAAACAATTGTGTTAAACAGTTTGAGCAGAGAAAGAAAATATATAGCATAAAAATATAATTTTCTTAAATTTTAGAAGTACTAATCTACAGGAAGGTTCAGATATTTGTTGTACAGTTTGAATTGTTTTCTAGCAGAGGATGGATAAATTGCCAAAGACGGGTTTTCTAAATCTTGAAATAAACAGCAAGTTAGACATTGAGATTGTAGTGTGATCTTTTAATGATAAAGATGCACTTGAACATTTGCTTTTTTTACATTTGAAAATTAGTAAATACTTCCAAAAGTATTCCTTAGTGTTTACGTTATGGAATTTAATTAGGAAGAGTTTTAACATTAACACAGGACTTCTGCATTGGTGAAACACTACTTGCTGTTTTAATAAAAACACAATTGGAAGTAGCAAGAACTTTGTTTTGTAAATGTGTGGACCTCAGGTTTCTCTTAAGGTTTTGAAAGGCAGTAATGAAACTGGTTTGTGATTACATACTCTTCTTGTATGCATTCGTTTTTCATAGATAGACATTTGTTTTTCAGTCGTTGTTATGGGAAAAATTAATAGATGTATAAATAGTTACTAGAAAAAACATATGTATCTTTCCCTTGCAGATAGTTCTGGATATGCTTAACCCACAGTCTGCTCTGCCTGTTGTACACCCAAGCCTGAAACAGGGTGGTGTCTGTGCTGTGTATTTAGCAAAGTAAGTATTTACTTCTGGCACTTGTGCATTATTCAGGCGTGGCCTAACATTGTTACAAAATAAAAAAAATCTTCTAAAATATGCATCCAGCATTAAGAAAGTGTTTAATAACATTTTTTCTCCCATGTAATATTTTTGGTTTTAGCCATGGCACTCAGTATAATTTAATCTGGCTCAATCCTTTGGCCTTTACTTTGCAAATGTTCTCATTATGGTCAGCAGAAGTTTTCACTTAAGACATCCTCAAAATAACTGTACTGTTTTCCAGTTCAGTAGTCAGGTTGCTAGCTCCTTTACCTTAAAATCAAAGGGCTTGTGTTTCATCAAAGGTAAAGAATGTTAGGAAGGCAGAATTGAGGCTTAACCGTATGATCTGAGTTTCTAAACACTGCTTTATCCTTTGTATTTCTTCAAAAGCATCACACAGGTTATTGGCCTTTTAGACAGAATACGGACCTGCAGGCTCCCTTTTTTGTGTGAAAAGATCATTGAGGTAACTCATAGAAATTGGTTGGTACTCCCTGCTAAAATTAAGAATTGCAATTCAAACAAAATGGTGGAGACTGAAGAAAATACTGAAGAACCACTTCAAAAGGAATACAAAGAAAGCCACATTGAGGATCAAGTAGTTCTCGGAGAATACAATGGTAAGAATGTTATTGCTGACGAGATTGTATAACTGCAGTTCGATAATGCAAAGTATCATGAAGGTAAAGTTTGTAGGAAGAGGCAGGTTTTTTTCTTAGGTCAGCTGAGATTGTTGTGAAGATTAGACAAACTTCTGGACAGCCTAGACCTTGTCAGGTTTGAAAAAGTATATATTAATGGTTATTTAAGTTTAAATGTCTATTAAACTAGACTAAATAGAAAATAAATTGCAATCTGCAAATAAAGAATGACTGCTCTTCCACTACTGTTTTCAAATTTTTATTTTTTACTAAAATTCAGCCTTCTATACTAGTCCTGTAGCTGTTTTAGAGGACCCTGAAGGGCTTAAGGATACCACAGAAGAAATGTTATCAGGGTGCTCTGGTTTTTAGTCCTGCTGTTCTGGCAAGCCCCAAAAAAATGCCTCATACTAGTACAGATTTGCAAAATCCATAGTAAAGCAAAGAGGTCTGAATGTAGTGATAGGTGACAACAAATTACTTCAACAGAAGCGAAAATTAAAATAACGTCAGGGAAAAATATCCCATGCGCATTGGCAAGTGTAGTCTGCATGTATGTATTAAAATTCTTGGAAAGAATTTTTAAAAATTACTTCTCACAGAATCACTTTCTAATGATGCTGAAACATACTCCTCCGTGCCTTACGTTGCTAGACCATCTTACCAGCAGGAGGCTCATTCAGGTGAGACATTTGGAAAATGTTTTTTATCTTACATGTTTAGTGGGTTTTAAAACCTTTTTTTTTGTACCAGCATTTGACATGTTACTATATAATGAAATCCTAGAACTTATAATAATAAACTAGTAATTGTATATTGAAATACTGAAGTAGTAACTTGTTTTGTTTTTTAATTAGCATTCCTTACCAAGCTGAGAAAGTTTGGACCACTTCTTTCTTGAGGCTGCTGAGATGTTAGCTGCCAATTTAAGCATTGTATCAGAATAAAATAAAATGTTACAAAGTAGCTGCTGTGTTTTGCAAGTTGTATAACTTAAGTAATAGCAGGTTTGATTTTTCTACTGGGTATAAAGTTAGAAATCCTACTAACTGTTTAAAGGGAAAAGTTTTAACAGAATCATCAGGTATAGTGTTGTGATGCAACACAGATTCTTCCACAAAGCACAGTTATCTGCCTCTATCTCACTGGGAGTATTCTTCATTGCTTGTAAACCAGTCCATGGATTTGTCTTGGTTCAAGATGCTACCTCGTCTCCTTTTGCTGGACAGGCTCTGACAGTCTGCCAGAAATAAGGAGAAAAAATAATTGGTAAGGAAATAATGGATCAAAGTCTGCCCTTTGAAATGCAAATGAAGCAGGTTCTGACTTCACTGGCTACTATCTGGTGGCTGTCGCCCCTTTAAGATCAGCGTTCTTAAAGCACAGCTGGAAGAGAAACTGAAACGGACTGAATGTGTGCTTGATAGAGCTGTGCTTATTTTAAGAAAAAGACCAGTTGCTGACATGTATAGCTTTGGTTCACTTCCAGCACTTGTGCTGAAATTTGCCTAGTTATTGGTGAACTTTACTGTATATAAAACATTCTCAAGTGGTCAAAACAAACACATTCTTTTCTGACGAAGCAAGATCTCTGAAGTAAAACTAGATTTAAAATTAAGTCTTCCATAGTCTCACATAAGACTCCATATAAGCACATGGTGATGTTTAACATGTTAAATGTATTGAGTGACATGGTGCAGACACCTGACTTGTTCTGTATCTCAAGGAAGATTCAAATGCCAAATTTGTCAAAGTTGAGGGCTCCCTTGAGAATCACAGTTGTACTGAAACTGTCAAAAGCACAATTCTACTATAACAGTAAAAATGTTTATATTAATGAGAACATACGCAAATAAAAAAATAAAGCTATAAATAACTCTAACCCTGCAATAAACAAATATACTAAGAAGTCTGTAGTGGCTAAGCCCGTGAAGTATCTTTAAGGAGCTGAGGCCCTCTACAGCTCCACCAGAAAGTTTACATCTCAATAATATAATATCTTAATAAATTAAACAAGCGTTTGCCCCATAGCTGCTGTATGTAATGGAGGCTTCTCATACAAAGGCTCAAGGTGCTATTTTTAATAGATTAACATGCAAAGGTTCAGTTACCTAAAATAATATTCACAACCAGTCTTAAAAGGAAATTTGTATCAACTCTGTCAACAATTGAGAAACACTTGAATGAAAGTGTGAATTGTGATTTAAAATATGTCGAAACCGATGACAGCAACTGAGCAGCCTGCCCTTTCTAAAAGCAGTGCTCTCAAGAAAGCACTTTACCTCATGTAACACACACACTTAACTCTTGTGACAACACACCAGTATTTTTACCCTTTCTTCTAGCCAATCCTTAGTGTTTAAAATAGGAGTCTCAATTTAATTTATAGTGGAAAAAGAGTAATAAATACATACATAGACTGGAATGTGACCCATACCACAGTAGATATAGGTAATTTGAACAGACTTTGAACATAAAACAGTTGATATTTCCAGGAAGTCAAGAGACAAGATGTGAAAATGAAACTATGGCACTAAAAGCACAGTCCTGCCAAAGTAACTGCATTTGTAGTAGGGGTGTTTGCTCACAGAGAGATTGTGTCTTGTCACACCAAGGACACAGTATTCCCTTCAGTAGTCTGAAGGGCAAATATGGCTTCAGTTGCCTAAGCTAATTGAAAATTATGTGCACTATTAAACCATACCTTGGGCATAATACAAAGGAGATTTGATGAGCATTTTTTCAGTTGTAAAAGTGTCCTTCAAATTCTGGACTGAAGGTAGTTCCATCTCCAGAGTGCTAGCAGATGAGGAGGAGGATGGTGATAATCCTAGTCGTACAAATCTTCCCTTCTTACCACAAAGCAGGCAGTCTGTAGGAGTAGCATTAGGTCCTTGGTGCAGCTGAACTTGAGCATTGTGGTAGTTTCTTACAGCTCCGCTGTGGTGTACAGAACGTTCTCGCTGCCATGCAAAATGTGTTGGAGCAATAGCCATCACCTATCAGAACCAGCCATGAATCAGAAACCATACAAATAACAGGACATACAGCTGAAAAAAAGGGATCGAATTCATGTGTGGCAGAGGATTAATACTGCATAGCTGCAGTGGGTGTTGCCTACGATCTTCTATCTCACTAGACGGTTTGTTACCTTAGGCACAAGAAGGGGAACTATTATGAATCAGATGCGGAAACAGCAGTTTGCAGCTTTGTGTATTCATAGAATCATGCTGGTTGGAAGGGACCTTGAAGATCATCAAGTCTAACCATAATCTAAATTGCCCTACCACAACCTAATTTACCTGTTCAGATCTCAAATCATGTCCCTAAGCACTATATCTGCATTTCTTTTAAATATTTCCAGGAATTGTGACTCCACCACCTCCCTGGGCAGCCTGTTCCACTGTCCAACAACTCTTTTGGTAAAGAAATTCTTTCTCATATCCAGCCTAAACCTTCCCTGGTGCAGCTGCAGGCCATTTCCTCATGTGTTGTCATTATTCCCTAAAGAGGCCAACTCCCACCTCCCTACAACCTCCTTTCAGGTAGCTGTAGAGAGCAATGAGGTCTCCCCTCTGCCTGCTCTTCTTCAAACTAAACAATCCCAGTTCCCTCAGCCTCTCCTCATAGGACTTACTCTCTAGACCTTTCACCAGCTTGGTGTCCTCTGGACATGCTCCAGCAACAGGCTCCAGCAACAATATTAATGTGAATCATCACAAATACCAGCTCATGGTTTGTATATTGCACTGAAGATGGTGTCTTTTACTAACTGCTAAACAAACTAGATGGATCTTGTGGTTCACAATGTCACTGAACTGGTGACAGCTGGAAGCTGGGAGGGTGTGCTGTGAAAAGCATTCTGCACTTCCCTTGTTCCTAGTACTTTTCCCATAAGCACCCAGTCCCACCCCCAGACATGGGATTCTAGAGTAAATGAGATTTTCTTTTCCACCAGCTGTAGTAAACATAATGGTTTTGGAACATGACTGGTCTTTTCCAGACAGATACATTCCATCTGAAAAGTGTCTTTTTCCCTCCTAATACATTTGAAAAATGTAGGTTGTAATACTGCATTAATAGTAGAGAACGTTAAAGGTGTGTCCTTGTGAACTTTTGTAAATGCAGTGAAAAAACATTACCTTAAAAAGTCAACTGAAGTTGTATTTTTAATTTTGAAGGGGTTAAAATCTCACGTGACATGCTGGGATTTTTATTTGAAGGTTTTACTCATGTACAAACTTGTAATTTGTGAAGCAAACACAGAACTATTTCTAAAGTCAATGAAGTGGAAAAAAAACATGGTAAATTTTAAATAAAAATATTTATGCAAAGCAGAAAGATTCCAGTCAATAAAAGCTTCAACAGTTGTGCAATGTAAAATATCTTAGTTTATCTTAAAAGCAGTTTCAAATAATGTATTTTAAATGCAGAAGAAAAAAAAAGTCATGGACAATACATGGACCATTCAATTTTAACTGCTTTTTTTCTTTCCCATGGCTTGTCTACACACTTCTGGGAGGAAATTATTCGTACAGAGCTAGCTTGCTACTTGGTATTAATTTTTGTAGTTTCAGTATCTACAATATGAAAACCTTCCCTACCTCTTCACAGCAGCGTCTGCTTACAATAGCCCTGTAGTCCATTCTACTCCACAGTCGATCTCTTAACTTTAGGAAATCAGGGAAGATTTTTCTCCAGGCTTTTCCCAAGGCCCATGGGAAAACGTCATACTTTGATTCTTCATCATCTTCTTCAATTGTATTTGCCAGATACCTTCAAATACATATGTTTGTGTCTGCAAACGTTCAATCTTAACTCACTGTATTAGTATGATTTCTAACATTAAAAGGCATAATATTGAAGTAGTTCTTTTTCCCAGTAGTGTAGGAAAAACAGTAGAAAAAAACAGCCTTCCCTCTGGAGTACAGTGTTTTCATACTCAGAAAGTTACGTATGTAACTTTGGGTAAATGCAAACTTAACTTAAGCTATTACTGCAATTGCTTTACCCTTCAGTTTCATAAATGAGAGGATATGCAAGAACCAACATATCTGGACAGCCTTCACCAAACTGGCAAGATACCCTTGTACTAAAATGAGCAGTTTCTGACTGATTCTCTAAATGAAGCTTAAAACTATTTTGTGAAATCTTAAACTTTACATTTTTTTCATGGATTTTAACTATTCTTGGAAAATTATATCACTCACATTATATTAGCAGCAAACAACTAAAATATAGGTCTAGTTTCATGTATAAATGAAAACCTTAAATTATTTTCTGTCCATATTTCTTCCTTCCTTCACTACATGCTACTTTTGGATCTGGCCTGTCTTCTCAGACAACAGGCAAATATTTATTTCCTCTGGATCCACCCAGTACTAAACTCCTGTAAATCATACCTGAGATTTTTTTTATGTTTAAACCCCTCCCCAATTTTCTCACTTTCTGCTAATTACCCACATATTCCCTCTAGTCCCTGTCTCACCAGACCCTTTGTCCCTTTCTAATCTCTTTTTTTTCTGGCCTGGCTTTTCTTCCTTCAGTGTGGAGTCAGACACTTTCCTCCTCCATGCTTTGTGGACACTACCCAGAATACCACTCATGGGAGAAGGAACAAACACCTTTCTCCCACACTAGTGCATGAATCAGAGCATCTGAGGAAAACTATTATGGGAAAAGATTAGCTGAGCACCATAACACTATGAAAGAAAATGCTGAATCCTTTGTAGGTACAGCCAAATATGGAGAGATTACATATAGGCTTGGTAAAAACTGATTAGTGGTTGCACCTCTGTTCCAAAGCAGAGAAGTTTTAGAACTGTTCAGAAAATTCTTATGAATTCTCTACCAACATTTTCACAGTTGACTTAAACCATGTTAACAGAAACTTTAATGAAACATTACCCCCAAGGTGGGCATTATGATGAAACATTTTGGTACAAATTATTTAAAGGCTATCAAAGATACAGTGTCTTCTAACAGGAAGTGTGAGACGTGTATGTGGCCATGTATCGCCCTGCATATATTTCTTGTAATGCTTAAAACAGTTGCCAGATTTAGTTCAGTAGGCAGACTGCCACGCTATGTATCACTGCCCCAACACTAGCATCCCCTCACTGCTGCTCAAGCTTGTTCCACCCAGGTGGGTCATCAAAGGAAGAACGTTGAATCAGCACTATATATATATATATATATGTATATATATATAGTATGTAGATTATGTTTCTATACTTCATATAGAACCCAAATAACTACACACACATCAAATAATTCTCATAATTATCAGTGGTGTAAACAAACGAATAAAACAATGCAAAGTTTATGCAAATATAACCAGGTAATTTAAAAGTACTTACAGAGAGACAAAGAAATTGATTCTGGTATACTCATTTATTGTGAAGTTAGCCCTCTTGAAATAAACGAAAGTCATTGCCAAGAGATACTGTTTTAAAATGTAAAATGAAGTATCAATATATTATTTCAGTATATTATTTTCTAAAATGTTTCACACATTTATCTTGCACCAAGATATTTTTATCATTTCTGTCAATGATGAAAGCAGAAATTTAATTTCTCGAAGCATGAACACATTAGGAAGAAAATATAGTTTATATGTGCATTACCGTATCAAGTAATTAAGGGCAGATTTTTCACTCAATGTATGTTCTATTAACTAAGAAGGAAATAGACTTGCCTTGTCTGCAATTTTACAGCAAGAGTCCATCCAAAGGAAGTCTTGGATTAGATCATCATCTGCAACAAAAGCAAGCTGTAGCATTTCAAACACCAAAATTGTTTTGTGTTAGAAAGTATTTGTAAATAAATAACAGATGGTCCTTTTATTGGAGCAAATAAAAGTAAAGAAGCTAGACCCGCCAGTAGAGAACAGAGAAACTGACAGGAGAAAAGAGATACTAAAAAAACCTGAAGCATCAAAAGAAGACAAACTACCAGAAAAGCAAGGTGGAAAATCTAGTGACTGTATTTCATTAATTCTCAGTAGTAGTTAAAGTGAAAAATCACCAGTATTTTTTTCTATTTATCTGACTTCTTCCTGCACTAAGTGGTTCCATCTAATCACATACCATTATTTCTGATGAATTTCAGAGTGTTGAGATCTCTGCACCTTGGTTACCTGACTGCCTTTATAAGGCAACACTTGCTTGATTATTTGTGGTCAGTGCTGCATTACAGTCTGTGAACATGAACTGTAACAGGATTACCACAAACTCCCTCTGATACACTTCTATACTTAAGGTTCATATCACAACCAAGTGTCATCTTCCACTATTACTGAATCTTTTCACTAAAGCAAATGCAAAACTTGAAATGAGAGACAAAAATGCAAGAGAGATGCTACAACTGCTCAGATTTTCTTCCCATTCCTCTTCTTCCCCTTAATGGTTATTCCCACCATAAGTAACATTTATAAAAATGGGAGTCCAGCATTTTTAAGCCTTGTATAAAAGAAGATGTATATTGGTTTACATGTATTTGATAAAATATAAGAGAAAACAGAAAGGAAAGGGGCATTACCATAAAAGGAAGTATCATACCACCTTTGTCTCATTTGTATTTTCAAGGTATTTTCAATCAGTTTGGTAGCCCTTGCATCTTTAACTTGAGCATTAAATATACACTAAAATACAGCAACAAAATACACTTAGACAAAGACATGGCCACTAGTATCTATATAAAAAGAACTCCCAACATAATTGAGTTTTGAAAACATTTGCTTAATAGTTTTCTACTGTTCAGTCAATACATTTTAATTATCTGTCATTATTAACCTACCAAATAATTTAAAGAAAGCTGTCATTTCCTGACGCTGAATAACTAGACATGGCCCCTTTGGACATTTATATTTATGACTAGGAATCTTTTTTTCACCATTCTCTTCATGGTCTTTAAAAGCAGGCCGCTTTAGCCTAAGAAGGCTTTTTTGGTGATGTGATCTGGATGTACTCAATTTTACAGGAACAGTGACAGTGGGAGATGTGGGACACACCAGATTGTGCCTCATCTTGGTGAGTAAAGGATCCTGTCAAAAAAGAAGAAGAAATTAAATGAAAATTAAAAAAAAAAAAAGTCAGTTTTAGCAGTTCTTTCTACTCCTTTTGTTCAGATGAAGCATTTCAGTAGAGCTTGTCTGTCAGGTGATACAAAAATTAATTGTATCAACACTAGTAAGTCTCGTGCCTTAGCCAACTATGTAGGTGCCTTTAATTTAGTTCTGATTTTATAAATCTCTTTTTTCAGTGGAGGGAGCCTCCAATCTTCCTTTTTTTTTTTTAAATTTTGAACGGAGGAGGGGAAAAAAAACCCACAACCTCCTTTCCATGAAAGGCTGCTGGTTGTCACATCCCTTATTCCAGTAAGGAAGCCCCACACGCTTCATTAGATCTCCCAAAGAACTACCATTCCCCCCTCCCGATTTGTGGCTGTGTTACGTTTAAAAGAACACCAGCGGAATGAACGCAGCAGAACCATCGCTAAGCCGTGTTAAGGACGCAATTTCGGTCTTGAGCTCCTAATTTGTATAAACGCTCGGCTGTAGCCACCGGGGATAAAAACTTACCCTCAAGTAGGACATACCCTGAAGGCATAACCAAGGAAACAAACCTGAGGTGTTTGTAACTATAAAGACCGAGCAGCTACCAAGCGGGAGCCTGAGGGGAGGTGTTTCCAGGCAGGACCAAACGCCTTTATTCCTTCCCCAGCTCCCCGCACAGCGCACGGGGCTGCCCGAGGCCGCCCACAGCACCTGCCCGGCTCTTCAGCCCCTCGCTGGCGGCCACACAACCAACCAAGCCCCTCAGGTGCGGGTGAGACGAGGCCCCTCCG